GACGAAACGTCTCATCACACTCCTAAACCGCTGATGGTTCTGTAGACATGTTACAGAACTACGAATGGTTTCGCATACCGCATTAAAAACCTGTGGATGGTTTTTGCTACCAATTACCGAACCTTCTCGACACTACGGAACTTAAAATAGTTCGGTAGTTCAAGCACGGAACATTTTTCGTTTTTCTGAGCTTAAAATCGTTCAGTCAAAGTATAGGAAACCTTTTAGGTTCGGTAAAACTCCTTATTTTTTTTGAGTGCGATACATCTTGTTTTCAGTTTTGTTTGATTGTTTTTTATCGAAAATTTTGAACATAATAAATTGAACATATGAGTCAATGAAAAGAGTATCATACAAATATCAACATACATTTCTATCGCTATCAATTCAAGCATTTATTTGATCGAGGGATGCAATCCATCAAAACAGAAATTATTGAAACTTTCTAGGCTATCTCTTTTCAAAGATTTTAATCAGTGTCTTATGAACTAACGGTAAACGTTACCCATGTACGAAAATGCTTGCATATATTCACACTTCTAGTTTTGTAAGAAATAAAATAACTCTTTTTATTTTTTACATATGTAATTGAACTTATAATTATGAATATTTTTTTATTAAGAAAATTCTTTTTTCTGGTTCACTCAAAAACAGAATCAACCGCATAAATCGATTTAGAACTTTTGATTGACATTTACTATTTTACTCTCTTAATTCTCATTATCTTCCAATAATCACAAAAATCGAGCAAAGCATCATATATTGAAAAATTTCTTTGAATATCATCTATCAACATTGCAGACTATAAAAAACTATATATCTCATCGAAAATTAATGGAAGAAGCAGGCACAAAAGCAATGGCCCGTAAACCAATTCGTGGTCGTGCAACTGGACCAGTTCGTGGTCGTGCAACTGGACCAGTCCATGGTCGCGCAACTGAACCAGGTCGTTATAGTACAAAGAAATCAGTTGATCGTGGTCAAGCTGAACCCGTTCGTCGTGGTGAATCCGAGCCATTTCGCCGTGGTCAATTCGAACCATTATTCTTGGTAATATGTTGTTTTGAATTTTTAAAAAAATTAAAGCGATCTCTCTGTAGAGAAAGATATAAAAGGAACGATTGTTACGATAAATCGGTTAAAACATTATGGTTTCATAAAACGGTATGGATCAACTGATGTTATATTTTGTAATTACTTTCGGATGTTATTTAGGAGAGATCGAGTAGAATCTCACGACATTTTTGCTCGAGAAGTTTCGACAATCAACGAAACTCGTCAACGAAAATTCTTTGTCTCGGACACGTGTAAATTTGACATAATGAAAAGCAAGTTCTTTAATTTCAATGATGTCATAAATAATACTTTCCTTTTCCTCTATCCAGCTCCACGCGGTGTCGAGGCTGTGAATATTAAAATCATTGAACGAAATATCAACAGTATTTCAAAATTGCCGAAGATACCAAAAAAGAAACATATCGATAAACAGCAACAATAAGTTCCAGCTGAAATCTTTAAATCAACAATGTATGATTTCATCTATATCCTTCGAATAAAATGAACCTTATTTAATTGTGTAATTTTAGTGCCGAGTTGTTTAAAGAAGCTTTAGAAAGAAAATAGACATGAAGAATTTATATCCATGATCAACTTTACAAGAAAATTAGGGATATCACTATGGCGTTTATCTCGTCTATTCAACAAAAGAAAATTTGTAAAATAACATATTGTAATAAAAAACAAGTTGTTTATTTTTTTACAATTGTTACTATACCCAGTGAAAAATATCATACCAATAATCTGGATTATTTTTGATTATCAAATAGAAAATCCGATTTTTCCTACAAAAATCTTAGTTTTGACGGATAATCAGATTGAATTTGATTAAAATGTGTTATTCAGAAATAAAATAATCGGTTTTAGTTGATTTTAATCGATTAGAAAATTGAAATAAGATTTTCATCCTCAATCGATTGGCAATCCGTTCAATCAATTAAAATCTCAATCGATTAAAACCTTTTTTTGGATTTCAATCAATTAAAATCTCTCACTCTAAATGGAATCGGATTTTCATCCTCAATCGATTGGCAATCCGTTCAATCGTTTCAGATGTATGTTTTCGAAATTTTTGTCTTGATATCAGTTGAAACCAGATAGATGCTTGTTGATAAACCTTACTCTACGTAAAATATAGTTCGTGAGCTTTCGACCATCTCTTCAAATTCTCTCAGTTGTTTGCACGATTTACAAATATGGAATGATTGACGACGTATGTTTTTATAGGAAGAAGTCGTGCTATATTCTAGGAGCTGTGAGTTAAATTTGGGAAACGACAGAAAGATACACCGGCACCAGCACTTTCAAAATAAACAGTTTTCTCGATAAAGTCATCAATGTCAATAAGAATGTAAGACCATCTGACTGATGAAGAAAATTGTATACCAGGAAATTCAATTTTTTGTGATTGATCAAGTGGGCACACTAAGGGTGAGTTGTTCAGGAAATGAGCAACGAAAATCATGGGCTGACTACGATTCAATGTGAATATTGCACGAATTCGGCCAAACTGTTCCGTTCCATTCAAACGAAAAAGAATATTCGAGTCATCAGAGGTTTTGCCATGTGAGTACGAACGAGTTGAGAGACGACAGTCATCCAGGTATATTACGTCGAAAAAATCGAGCTGTGCCGAAGGGAAGAGCAGACGTACGGACGCGTCTTCTTTGCTACATTTGTGCTTAAGCAGTAAACGTGTTCTTTTAGAATCATCTACTAATTTTGAATGGAAGAAGGTAGAGAAAAGAAAAGAAGCAAAATCTGAGCTCATGGTCGGATCCATACAATGACGTTTTGCATGTTGAAGAACATGTAAATTTTGCATAATTTCTTCAGCTTGATTTCGTGGACCCTTCGTTGATTTAACCAGCACACCTGTCCACAGTACAAACAGACGAAATGTCAGAAACAGAGAAAAACGTAAGCTCGTACCAAGATCGTTCTCAAACTGGAACGTGGTATAGTTTGTTAATGGACCGAAGTCATTAATTGTTTCAGGTATATGAATGATTGAATGAACCACTTGAACACAATGTCGGTCCGTGTAGATTTGCGAAAACGATAAAACAAAACTGTGACAGAGGCGTTTGATAAATTGTTCATCCAAGTTATCGATCTTTCTACCCTCTGACATGTGCATGATGACAACTAGCTGTAGAAGGTGCTTGTAGTACTGTTCTTGTAAGAATTTCTTGAAAATGACGTGTCCGAACAGGAGTAAGACGCGCAATTCGTTGGCTTTAAATCTTCTATACTCAATAAGCGAACGAGGTATTCTTGTTGTGGTTGACGGAAGTCGAACACAACGAAACAATGTGGCGAGTTCAATTATCCTTCCACCTATATTCAAAGATATAATAATATCTACATGGTATCGAATATGGGGCAGTAGTAGCAGTATTGGCCTTTCAGGTGAACATACTGATATCGATAAAGATATTGATTTTTCGTACCAATCGTGAATATCCACCTGTAATCAATACCAATACAACCCCATTACCAATTCCAATACTATCCGATCCCAATATTATTGATATTGTTATGCCCTTACTTATGTTCCAATCTTCATTTCGAAACCTTTTATTAAGCCAAAGGTGAACCATCCTTTTCTAAAAGCAGAGTTGAGCAAAATGTCTTAGAAAAAAGCAGTTTTCTGTTACAAAAGTCCCGATGTATACGTTGTGCAAGCTATCAGCCAGGAAAGATCGTCCAACGTCGAAATATGTTAATTCTCGAAGTATACAAACTCCCATCAATCCCTTTTCATTCCACTTGTCGATAGGTGGTTCTTTGGATCGGCGATGATATGGCCAATGATTTTGTAATTGTTCCTGTACTTGAAAAATATCAATCAAAATATCATAGCGTTCATTCGAACGAACAACGATATTGCTCAGTTCCTGATCGTTGATCGAAAAGCTGCGGACATGTCCTCCCTGTGTTGTTGAAACCATGAAACCTATTGAAAATATATAACAGAGTGTGGTCATTTATTTTAGATGATCGCATAGACTTATAGTTGCGATAAATTCAATGCAACGAAATGATCAGTGAAAAATTTAAGGATGAAAAGCTGACATAGAACCGTTGATATTAGTCATTGATCATGATATATTCTTTTTTCTGTCATACTTGTTCGTTTTCGTTTGCATTCTTCTCACATTTTTTCCCTGCTCACCTTCACTTTAAATAGGAGAGGATGTGTTGAGACGCGGTATATGCATGAGAAAAGGCAATAGAAGTAGCAGATATATTGTTGCGCTCCAGTGTGATTTTATCGGCGCTGCGCACAGACATATGTTTGGTTATGAAATAAACATTTTCAGGTTCACAATCGACTTTAGAGTATCTTTTTATAGTTGCTGCATTCCTTTTCTCACTCTTATGACAGGCAAAGTCAAATCTATTGTCAGCATTTCAATCAGTAGATAAAAGTATTGTACTACCCTCTGTTTCACATCGTCCACATCCAAATGCAGCGATTGGCTCCGCAATACACTGGATGATCGATTGTGCTGGTTTGTCACAGCAAGCCGCGATCAGGTAAACCGACGTCTTAACTATCTGTCCATTAGACAAACTAAACATATGACCATTCTCAAGCTCGAGAAGTTCATCTACTAATGGCCGGTATAATAATCTAATATGATTGCGTGACGGCTTTGAAGGACCAGGCCAGACACCCGCGAGTATGACATTCTCAATGTTGAATCGAATTTTGGGTGGAAGCTCATTGATTACTAACAGAATCGGCCAAAGACTTGATTGAGAACCTTTGGAAAATTGGACTCCATCAATATTCATCGTCAAAGTCAGAATCGAATTCGAGTCACGATTACGTATCGAACGGTAAGCAGCACCATCACAAACATCTCTCATAGACGACGTTCTATTCTGATACAACAGATCAACATTTGGATTATTGATTAGAATGTTTTGAAGCTGTTTTGTTATAGAGAAAATGTTAAATGATTGTGACTTGTTCGAATAGTTTGTTAGACAACTTGGACAATTTGCTGTATATGATATGGATTCGTCACAAACGGGACATATTGAAAATTTCTTCGATATTGGTTGTGATTTATTCAACATACGTTTAACTTTGTACCAACTAGACGGTGTGTTAAAAACATGAAGCTTCTCGAGTAAACGAATGATATCATTAATGCAAGTAATTGATAGATGATGTTTCCTCTTCAATAAGACAAGACTAGCAGCGATATCTGTTCCGGAGATCTCATCGCGATTACAAGGCGGTATCTGTGGTTTTGAAGTTTTGACAACATCATTATTGTTGCTCGTAATGTTGTTGTGAATGGGTTCAATTAGTCTAAAACGAAACATAAAATCATTGAAAGAAAAATACCGTCTCTTACAAGTCTTGCTCATTTCCAACAAACTCCGAACGTCTGTTAAAAAAGGGTATGATTAACGAAATACAATGAATTTTCAACGGATCTCACAGATCATGCTCGTCATGGAGCATTATCGGAGCATCGATGGTTTGAGTTTCAGTCACATTGACATTTTGTGTCTGATCAGTGTCTCTCGTACCAATTTCCATCTGAGATAGCTTGACGCCTCCAAAAAATAAACGCTGAGAATATAAAAGTAAAAATAACTGATGAAAACCTAATCGTATAGCAGTATTAAGCTTCCGCTTCTGGCGCCACTGCGTCCATCGACTTGATCGCAATGACATATTTCGAAAGGTGCTCTGAAACATTATCATAATTTATGATCAAGGTTCATTCTACTTTTTTATCTAACGAAACGAATCTGAGAATAAAATGATATCACAAAGACAATTGCAAAAAAAAAATCATTGTTCAAGTTCAATAATCATGTTGATGCATCCGAATCTGAATTAGCTACACTATTGTCCATTGATACCAAACCAATCTTCATCTTTTGAGAATGTTTCCGCGTAGCAAAAACATTGCCCATGCCCTTCTTAATTTTCGGCATATCATTTGCTTTCTTCTCCAATGGATGCATTAAACAGGCATAATCTAATAGAGAGAGTTTATTGATTCTACATGCCACAGATAACCACTGACCTGCCACAGCCTGCACATGTTCCTTCGCTACATCGGCAAAAGTTGTCGATAAACCCGGATACTTCTTTCCAATGACTTGACGCGCTGTTGAAAGCAGGGTTTTACCAGCACATGCTCTTAGTTCGGCTTCTGTCATACCTAATGTCGTGCAGATGTAATCCAAAATATCTCCTCTATCCAGACTCCCATCACCATCATCGGAAACTTCGTTCACATAGTTAGATAATGTTTTACCGACATAAATGAAATAGTCAATAGTTTGTTTGTCGACGGGACGCGCTAGAAAGAAGGACGTACGAAATCATAAAAGAGTGATAGTCGAAATCTTTGGCTAATAAAATTTCACAAACACTTACGCATCCATGTCGAATGAAGCAACATATTCTCTTCGTTCACTTGTGCTAATTGCGCGACCAAATTGACATGTTCTCTCATAGAAACAAAACCTAAAGATTTTTGTCGTTTACTTTTTGGAGAGACAGAAGACGATTCGTTGACTGGAGGAGTTTTCCTTTTGAAAGTGATAGATGACTCTATAAAAGGAAAACAAAACATTCATTGAACTATGAACACATGTCACGAAAAGTTTATAAACCTATATTCAAATTTGAAGCAACATCGCGACCGGCTGTTGTGAGAATTGGAAAAGGAGAAACATTAGTGTTCGTGAAACTATTCTCCTTATCATTTTCCTCTTCAGATAGACATGCATCTTCTTTGTTTTTTACTCCGGGATCTTCTGAATCAAACTCATCGATATCGTCAGCAATGTCATCTCCCATTTCATTACAATCGATCTGTTTATCTGATGAGGGATGATTCATAGATTGGACATTAGATTTCACATTGGTATTGTATGTAGAAGAATTCTTTGTCCGTTGAATAATATCGAATGATTGATTACATTCTTCTTCGCTACCTAATAAAAAAAGAACTAATATTTTCCTAAACAGACGCGTAATAAGATCGCACCAATTAAAATAACAACACCTCGAACGCTGTCTGCTCGCGGACCGTATAAAACAGTATCACCAATAGCAATCCGTAACGATTTTTTGATCGGAACTAATTCATTGCGTGGTAGAACACAAAGCATATCACTATCTTCATCCCGTACAATGGCAAAAACATGATTTTCCTCGGTAGTTTTCGGCGATGGAAGTTGTTGAGATTTTGACGAAGGGTGTTGTCGAGATTTTGACGAAGTTTGTTTAGATTTTGAGGATGTTTCTTGAGATTTTTTTTGTGTTCGTTGTGTACGTGAGGGCATGGTTAGATCCAAAACTGAGTAAGATAAAAGAAGATAATATATCTACAATCAATTGGAATATTGATCCAAGAGAGAATCAAAATATATGCAAAAAAGCAGGCGAAATGAAGAACTACTTATCGATCATAATCCTTTCGTTCAAGAACAGAATCCAGGTCCTAAAGAGAGAGTATTTCTGACATGCACGAGCATTGGTGTCTTCAATTTAAGATTGCTTAGCACAAAATGTCAGATTACAACTTGATTTTGTTGTACGAAAATCTGATTGAAATCTAACGTAATCGCATAGTTTTTATGGGCAATAGACTCTTCAAGTCAATGCACAGGAGATATATACAGGTCTTACGCAATATAGTAAGCTCTTTCTAATTTTTTAAATATGTACTTCGTTTGATCCAATTAGATTTAATTCCATGTTTCACCTTCTTGTTTTTCTTTCGGACCTAGTACTGTTAAAGAACGAATTACTTTCTAAAATTGTTTATGTTTAAGAAATTGCGTCGAGAGGCAAAGTCTAAATATCATTCAACGAATCGGTCACGTCAATGCAAAATCACCGCTGCCTTCGAGCGACATCATGTTTCCTTTTTTGTTATGGTTACATGAATCTCCCTGTCTGCTTAGTTCGGTTTTTATCGTAGTATACTATTAGTTGCAAATGGTCTCCACAATGTTAATTTGTTCTGCTTCAATGAGTTATTGATTTATCACATTGCCATTCCTATTTGTCTAATTGCTACTCTGCTTCATAAAATCAATTCTTAGTCAATGAAAACTAATTACCAACACATTGAGGATTTGTAAACAAAGAATGAAATCCATCATGAGTTTCTTTCACTCATGTTTATTGAAAATTGAGTTCAATTAGCTTACTATTTACTTTGTTCTTACAGTATATCTTTGTTCTCATGTTGATATGGTTAAACGACTATCGATCATCTGGAAAGAGTAACAATGAAAACTCTTGATTGTTTTTCGATACTGATAGGTTAATCTGAACCTTTAGATAAAGCTATTTTTTATGAAGTTCTATTAAAATTCTGCATTATCATTCAATTAAGTCTCCACGAAAAGTGCATTCTCAGAAATATGAATTCACAAAAAAACAGCTACCCAAATAGATCTTTCTTCCCATTATTTTCGTCGTCGATAATACAGCTTTAGTCAATCAGAATCCGTAGCATGCATGACAAGTACTTATATCGTATTCAACCTCAGAACGTAATGAGTAACATGCTTTTATTATCCTTTTCACTGAAAATGGACTGCTAAATTGATTATATTGAAACGAGGTACTTCTAATCGATTATAATCAATTAAATTTCAAAATACTTGAAAACGGTACGTGTAAAGACAGCACTCTATATACCTAACCGTATTTTTCATACAGTTTCACACTATAGAATGAATGTCAATCGATTAAAATGGATTAGTTTTCAAAATTTTGAAAAAAAGGTACGTATAAATGTACAGATCAAGGTACAGTGTTCTACTTTTATTGAGGTTTGTATTTTAGGATGAATATCAATCACTCAAGTTACTATTAAATTACATACTACATGCCCAAAGACAGATGATCACGACGGAAAGAGCGGTACTCCATTCATAATTCGACGATACTCCGAATTTGTTTTCCCAGTTTTAGAATATTACTGTTTCCCCGTTGAAGATAATACTTATGTGGATCCAGTTTTCATGATGTCCTGGATCGAGAAGATCACACAGGCTATCAGTGTACTAGATTTGACTTGATTCACACACAGCCAACAGAAAGGTAACGTAGTATGTGTTGGATTGGAAGGTTCGATGCGAAGTTTTTTTTTCCATTGCAGACTGAACTTGTCAACTTCTGCGATTATGACTGTTGACGTCTGGTTTTATTATGTCTTATTGGTATTACACGGATGTACATTGTTGTATGACAAATTATGGCACACATCAAGAATTCGATTGATATCAGGTCTAGTTCTGTAATACTATAATGGATACTGAGCGATTTGAATACGAATTATTTTAAGCTTTTTTTTTTATAGTTTTGTTCCATATATCAAATCACCGACCATCTGACTCGACAAAATGAATAGCAAAAGCATTTATCAACAAGAAAGTCATTTACTTTGACCCGTTTATATGTTACTGGGGTGCCATTATCGATCGGCTGATTTTGATGCTGCTGAAGCAGCATACGATAGTATTTCATTATCATCTCCTAATTATTTTCCAGTGATATTCATTGGAAGTGTAATGTGAGCCCGGTGTATTGGAAAATATTGAGATATGTGTTCTGTGAAGTATTGGTTGTAGTCACTTACCAATCATTAACATCAGAATGATTTAAATAACTCGATTTGAATCGATTTCGGTTTGGATTTTGATGCACGGCGATCAGATTGAAAATTCAGATGGCAATGGATTAGAAGAATTAGAATGGATTGATCAATCTGATTTTAATCGATTTCAATTCGGATTTTGGTGCAGAGTAATCGGATTGAAAATTCAGATGAAAATCCAATAAAATGGATTAGAAGAATTGGGATGGATTGATCAATCCGATTTTAATCGATTTCAATTCGGATTTTGATGCAGAATAATCGGATTTTGGATTGAGATTGAGTCTATAGGATTTCAGACATTTTAATCAATTTTAATCAGCAAATTTTTCACTGGGTAGTGAATAAACAAAAACTTTTTCTTAAAAAGATCTATCTATACAGTCACTCAAACTTATTTGAACTCATTACATGATGTCTTCGCCATTCGCTTGTCTAACTCATGTTTTGAACTAGATGAACTCACATGCGAGCTCCTCTCACATAACCTCTGAGCTACAATAAATTTACCTTTCTCAGTTTTATATTTTTATTATCATAATTAGGGGTGGGACTTTAACTTTACTTTAAAGCTTAAAGTTTAAAGTAAAACTTAAACTTTAAAATTTTAAAGCAAAGTAAAGCACTTTAACTTTAACTTTAAAGTTAAAGTTAAATCACTTTTCAACTTTACTTTAAAAGTCAAAGTTAAAGTTAATATCTTAAAATGTGCATTTTGATTCTCACCATTTAGTTACTCAATATAATTCTCGGTATTGCACTAAAAAGTTTACTTTTCTAAAACACTACAAAATCACAATAAAGAAAATAAAAATAATAATACTTTCTGTNAAATCATGCGTGTAATATAATAAATTATGTTACAATTTAAACTGAGGCAGGTCATCAATACCTCTTCGTAATAACATAAAAATCTAAAAAATGACCAGCTTTCTATATAATATAACATTTTCTTCCGTAATGTCACTTGATGATTATATGTGAGTTCCATTTATATCGAGATTTTCTCTTCTAAAATAATATTTCGCTTATTAAAAGCAATCAAAATTTGAGAATTTTTAAAAAAAAATAAGAGAATAGTGCGTGTTTTTTTCGAAACAGAACGCATCGTTTTTACATGTCTCATATACGAAATTACTCAAGATTCTTGGTCAAGTAAGGTTGGTCTAATGCAAAACTCAAGCAAAATTTTTTTTGTGAATTTTTTTATGGAATCCGGTGCAGTTTGATGCGCTGAATCCGAATATGTATGATTTATTTAGATAAAAAGTTTTCTTCCCGCTGAAAATCGAAAAATACAGCAAAAACCGAGGGTTTCAGAAAACCAGGTTTCCTACTAGGATTTTGACGATAGGGCTCCTAAAAAATTTGCTATAGTTTTGGAGATTTTTTCTCCTGATTCAGCATTGAAAACTGATTCTAGAACACTAATTTTTGATTGCTCAGTCTATATTTTTATCATTAAAAAAAATTTATCTCTGCTCATATACCGACTAGTCGAGTGAGTCTCATTGAAAATGCATCAACTCATTTTCTAATTAAGGTAGACACTTTTTTCTTTCACCGTTCGACTCCCTAGATGCCCTAGATATAATCTACGTATGATCTTTCCTTAACTCACTTTCTTTCTCAAAATTTCACGGGTATTCTGCGACGTTTCCAATCATACATGTATTCTTTTATTTTTAACAGAATTTTTCAACTATTTTTTTTTCTGAGGAAATTTTATGTTTCTAATAATAGAGATCTTTAAGATAGTCATTTAGAAAATATATTAAACTACTTTTCAAATATTCGCAGACATTTGTGACTTTACTCTGGAGTGATATTTTCAATTAAGGTTTAGCAACATATTAGTAGTAGTAGTAGATTCAACTAATTTGGAAGAAATCATGTTGTCATATTTATGAAATAGTGATAATAAAATATATTTTAACTAAAAAAGAGAAACAGATCATTACATAAATATGTTAAGCAATAGAATCAGTCATTCAAGTTGGAATTAGTAATTTGACGATGCGAAACGACGTTAGCTTTACACATTGAACTGAAATACATCTTGAGAACATCTTCATATGATTCACCACGGTCGTAAGCAGCTAATGTACGCCAAAATCTCCTGATTAATTTCAAAGAAACATTCTTTTCAATGAAATTGGTTCTTGATTTCTGAATTAATTTGAGCATAGTGGGAAATGTTTGGTCTGTTCGATGTCGAACGAATTGTTTTTGGTGTGCCCATAATCCTTCTATAGGATTTAACTCGCAATGGAACTTCGGCGAGAAAGTAACTGCTACACCATAGTCATTAGCAACCATCTCTAATTTTGAAATCTAAAAACAAACGTAGTAGATCAACATATCGATAGTTTAAAGAATAATTATCATTAATAGAAAGCTTACGTTCTTGAATGCATCATGTGAATTTAGAAGTCTTTTTAGTTCTTCTAATCTTATATTAGATGAAGTTTTAATACCAAGTTCTTTTGCCAAAATAAGTAGGCCTTTTGATTGTCCTTTGTTGCTACCAGTTGTAAAAAAACAGTCGATAGATTGTTTTTGACCATCTTCATCTCTGTAGAATATTTTATCAGTTTTACAACGCGTACCTGGCTTCATCCCAAAATCTTCAACCGAATAATGTTTAGCACTATGAGTACGAGCATTATCCACAATAACATGAAACTTATGATTTGCATAAGCTTGTTTAAATGGTAACATTTTGAACAAACGAGTAAATTGATTGATGATGGCATCATTATCAAAATATCCTCCAAAACCCACTTGAATTGATCCAGAAGCTGATCGTTCAATATATTGAATTCCATCATCTTCTAGTAATTCAGGATACTTCTTCACAGCTGCCTTCCATTCATCTTGAGAAAGCTGAAAGAAAGGATTGTCCGGATGTGCAATTAAAAAATCTGACACCATCAACGATCTTCCTCGGCCTTTGTTGAAAAATGTTGTAGTATCATCCGAATAGAACCAACGTTTTGCTGCTGTTTCCCCACTCCTAAAGCATGATTCGTCGTGAACTATAGAAACAAATGTTTTTATCTTTTTAAACTATTAGAAAAATAAATCTTTACAAATCAGAACGGTTGGATTTTTCTTTGGTGTGTTCCATTGTGGATCTTTTCCTTCTTCAACTCGATAGTATTTGTCTTGATTCGTTAGAAAATTTCGAACGAATTTTGTGCGAGCTTCAACAACATCTGGTCTTTCATGACCTTCCCAGTAAGGCTTAGCAGTATTCTTATCAAATTTGCAACCCCAACGATGTAGATCAAGATGACAAGTTTTTTCTGATCGAATTAGTTGTTGTGTGTTTTTCACCTATATGCGATATAATACAAAACATAATTAGATAATTGAAGAAGTAAGAGATATAACATCTAAGAGAGATTCATTTGCAATTCTAAAAAAACATCATTTTATCTTGTTTTTGAAAGCAAATCTTACCTCTCCAGTTACTTTATAATATTGATCATCTAAATATTCTGCAAGTTCCGTACAAGTAAACGATGCTGCCTTTCTTTTGCATGCCTTTATAGCGTATAACTTGGCCAAAGATTCTAATTCAGGATAGATATCAAAGAAGCTTTCACTATGTTTACCACCTCTATTGTCCTCCAAAAACTCTTCTAAATCTTCTTCAATTAATATTCTACTCCATTTGTTGCAACTTTGAGCACTCAATCCACCAATATCTTTTAGAAATAAATCAATTTTTCGCCAAGGTACACCGAAATACATTAATGATAAATGAAGTAACGCGGATAAAGATCGTAGCGAAGTATCTTGTTTGATAATTTCAAATAAATTTCCAATATCAAAAATATTGATGTTATTTTTTAAACTATCTTTTTCTTAAAGGAAGAAGAGAGAGCAGTAGGTAAAATATGAGACAATAAAGAGAGAACTGCCGTAAAAATCATGAGTCTTATTTCGATCAGAAATAAAAGAGAGATTCAAGCTTTCAAGCTCTATCTGAGCTCATCATCAGGAATTTTTATTACGAAAACAAAAAGAAAAAAGACAAAGAAAATCGAAAATGTGTTATTATCAGTTTTGCGTTTGTTTTATTGATGATAGTGATATTATTTATGCTGTTGATTATTATGATATTCTTATTTCCATTAGATATCGTTCCGTTCACTTTCTAATTCGAACAAAGAAAGAATGATATTATTTCCAATCAACATGCTTATCTACAAAGAAAATTGAATTATTAAATAAATATCAGTTTGATATTAAATGACTGTTTTGTTATATATATTAATGTGGAGGGTGTCGACATTGATGTTAAGTGGATCACACTTCACAACATCAGCAGAGAGCAATAATAGAAAAATAGAAAGATAGAGTTCAAGAGATCAATAGATGTGGAGGGTGTCGACATTGATGTTAAGTGGATCACACCTCACAACATCAGCAAAATGTATTGATGAGAGAAATAGAATGTAAAGAGGAAATTTTAAAAGTGCAAAGCATCAGCGTGAGTAATGTCAACCTTGATGTTCGGTGGAATATTTCTGATTAAGTTCTCTTTCGCTACTATTACTTTTCAGTCGACTACCTGGATGATATGTTTCGTTTCGTTAATCGATTTTCCTCGTGTTTTATTAGTTAATATGCTTTCTTTTATTACGCGTTTTCTCCAATCAGTCTCATGTGATAAAATGTTAGTATTGTCAAAGTCAAATTCATGTTTATGCTCTAGAATATGTTCAACTAATTTCGATTTTTCATTTAATGATCTAACATTTGATTTATGTTCTCTTATCCGTGTATCTTT